CCAGCCCTTTCTTCTAAAGAATTTTATCAAGACTGAAACAAGACCGTGTCACTATCCATTTTATTTTGGAGAAATAAACGTGATCAGAACCTTCTGTTAAACACTTGTTAAACTGTCATCTGTAAAAAGGGTCTGGTAAGAACTTAAAATCTCCAACTGTCTGACCTGCTTGAGATGTTAACCTTGTTTCATTTAGAGTGAGCTTTTGTTGCCTGAACCAGCCTCACCACTCACGTGTATGAATGCTCACTGCTTAAGACCTAGTGAACTGCTATCCAGTTTTATAGGAGAGAACAGGCCTACTTCCAGCATGGTGCCTCCACGGAGGTGCACGGAAGAATCAAAGCCTCTGTATGCTCTGGGACAATCAACTGGAAATTTAACTAGAAAACTTCCAGACCAGTTAAAAATGTAAAATATAGCCACGACAGGGCTTAACTGCAGAGTTAAGAAGCTTCAGCTTCTGTACCAGGAGACAATTTTGCATTTTCTTGAGATTTGCCCCCAGCAACAGCCATATTGGACAGATGTTTTTAACTCTAAATGCAATATAAAATTACCTATCATTTCTTTGCTATGCAGATTGAATATTTTGCATGTGCATTCAAAAACATATGTTTATAGTTTAAAGTTCTTATGTTTATTGTTTTCTACCATTAAACGTACTGTCTGCAGATGGAAAATTCAGTCTCTTTTATGGGTGGTGAGAAATTGTTAAAAAAATCAGTTACACACAGAGACATATTACACATAATGAGGGAAGAACTCGATTACATTGTTATCAAAATATGTACAGGAGCAATCCTCCCGTTTGTGAAGTGTTTCAGGGATTCTAAATGATCATACTCAACAGCTGGTCCTATTTGCAAGACTTGTCAATAAGAAACAACGCTGCCTTTCTCCCCTGGTGCTTTCCCCGCCCACTCTGCCGCCATGGTTGTACAGGCAGAGTGGCAAGCTGCTTTATCATCACTGCTCCTTATTACCATCAATGGTGGCAATAAAATCAAGAGTGTGGCAGCCCATTTTCACACTTTCCGTTAAAGACAAGCACCAGTTTTAGGATGGGGAGGAGTCTTAGGCTTTAGAAGTACAGGAAATTACTGTGGTATATCTGCTTTTCAAAGTAAGTGACTTGCAGGAAGGGCGTGTATCAATATTGGAAAGTTATTGGGATTAACAAAGGTTTGTTGTTATGTGCCGTAGAGTTGCTTGCGACTCATAGCGACCCTATGTACAACAGCCCTAAACTCCGCTCTGTCCTGTGCCAATCGCACTGTCTCTGACACTCCCACCCCAATTACCCCAGTCACTGAATCAATCCACCTCATAGAGAGCCTTCCTCTCCTGCGCTGTCCCTTCACCCTCCCACGCATGATGTCCCTCTCTAAGGACCGGTCTCTCCTCACAACATGTCCGAAGTATGTTAGACGGAGCCTCAGAATCCTTGCCTCCAAGGAGCCACCCGGTTTAACCTTCTCCAGGACAAATCTGTTTGTTTTCCTAGCAGTCCATGGTATTCTCAATACTCTTCTCCAACAGCACAGCTCAGAGGTCTCAATTCTCCTTCTATCCTCCTTGGTCATTGTCCAACTCTCTGATGCATAACAAGTGATTGCGAAGACCATGGCCTGTATCAGACGCACCTTAGTCTCCAGAGAGACACCATTGCTCTTCAGTACTTTGGAGAGGTCCCTAACAGCAGACTTTCCCATGGCAATACGTCTTCTAATTTCCTGGCTGCTGGTGCCAAGACTGTTGACTATGGAGCCAAGCAAACTAAAGCTGTGTACAATCTCAATCTCTTCACCATCCATCCTGATGCTGCCAAAGGTAGCATGTTCATAAGGGCGGGAGCCCCCAAAACCATGCAGAATATACTTCATGTTGTGTCCCTTATGTTTTGAATAATTTTTGTCACATTTCAACTTCAAAATAGTGCTAGAATTTCTTTCTCAATCCCTAAGACTTGATTTTGAGATTAATGTGATAGTCCTCAACTGCAAATAAAATGTCTAAGTACGCAAATAAAGGATTAAATATATTGAAAGGTGTATATGTGTGTATGTATGTGTGTATATATATATATATAGAGAGAGAGAGAGAGAGAGAGAGAGAGAGAGAGAGACAGAGAGAGAGAGAGAGACAGAGAGAGAGAGAGAGAGAGAGAGAGAGGAGAGAGAGAGAGAGAGAGGTATTTAAAGTTGGGACATCAAAAATATGCTACCTCGGACAGGGATAATCATGTGTTTTGGGTAATAGTTACTATAAA